GGACCGCTAGGAGCGATGAGCCATGCGGCCGGTCGGTTCCGGAAGCTATTCTCAAGGCTATTTCCTGGATGGAAAAGGTGGCCGACTTTCCAGTCGAGCTACGGCTAAAGACAGCATCGTGGAGCGGCTAGCGGAGGGGGCCCCTTTGATCAAGAGGGCTCCGCGCTATCCTGTTTACATGCTGGTACAGCTAGAGCTGGTTGTGGTCAATGCCGCGCTGGCCGTGGGCTGGCGGGTCTGGGCCTGGGCTAAGCTGGTCAAGGTCTGGGCCACGCTAAGGTGGTCGGATCTGCAGGCTATCTTGCCAGCGGAGCTAACTATGGAAGGTCGTCTCACCACCATCCTCCGGAAGACGAAGACCTCCGGCGCTACGAGAAGGGTTAAGGAGCTACCAGTTGTGGTGTCAGAGCACGCCTTTCTGGTCGCTAAGAGTTGGCTTGTGACCGGCTTCGATCTTCTGCCGGGCCCACGCTAACTACGCCCGGGATTACCTCATGCCGCGACTGGGCCGGGCAGGGCAGCTAGAGAGGAAGATCGCTACCTGGTAGCAACAGCCGGGCTGCTGGCTATCATGGGCTACGCCCGGGAGGTCCAGGGCTATTGGACGGAGCACAGTGAGCGCTCCGTGCTACCCACGGGGTTGGCGCTAAAAGAGATCCCACCGCAGGATAAGGATCTGCTAGGACGTTGGAAGCCCGAGGGTTCCGATGTGTATGCTAGATCCTTTGCGGGGAGGCCGGGTGTCCCGGCTCCAAGCTCTTTTCGCTAAAACAGCTAGAGGGGATGACCGCTACGAGGCGCTAGACGAGCGCGAAATTGCCGCTGATCTGGAGCCCTGGCTAGAAGAGAGGGCTAAGCTGACCCACAGCCAGGCTATCGACATGGCGGCAAGGCTGCGGAAGATCTGGGTGGAACCGAGGAACCCGTCGAGCTCGAGGAGCCGCAAGTGGGAGGGAGCAGCTCCGAGGCTTCTGCAGAGGTCTTGGAACGGCCTGCTAAGAAGCAGGCCAGGGTTCCTGACCGCAGCCAGGGCAGCTATGTAATCGTAGAGGTCCCAGGTGCCATTTTCCGCCTGCACAAGGCGGGCGCTACAGGATGTTGGATGGGAAAGCGCCGTGCTTTCCGCAACGCTAGGGTTCTCGATTCGGTTCCGGAGCCGCATGAGTACACACACGTGTGCAAGCTATGCTGGCCGAACCAGGGGGCTATCTCCGAAGGAGACGCTAGCGAAGGTTCGCTTGCTAACTCGGACGATGCCGAGCCCCCTGCGAGGAACCCGCAACAGGGTCCGCTAGCAGTCATCCTTGAGCGCAGGGCGTGCTGAGCCGCCGGACTCGCACCAGGGCTAGAAAGGCTGCTAGGTCGGAACCCTCTCCACCTTCCCTCTCCCTCTCCCTCTCCCTCTCCCTCTCCCTCTCCCTCTCCCTCTCCCTCTCCCTCTCCCTCCCCTCTTCTCTCCCTCTCCCTCTCCCTCCTCTCCCTCTCCCTCTCCCTCTCCCTCTCCCGCTCCCTCTCCCGTCCCTCTCCCTCCCTCTCCCTTCCCTCTCCCCTCTCTCTCTCTCTCTCTCTCTCTCTCCTCTCTCTCTCTCTCTCTCTCTCTCTCTCTCTCTCTCTCTCTCTCTCTCTCTCCCTCTCTCTCTCTCCTCTCTCTCTCTCTCTCTCTCTCTCTCTCTCTCTCTCTCTCTCTCTCTCTCTCTCTCTCTCTCTCTCTCTCTCTCTCTCTCTCTCTCTCTCTCTCTCTCTCTCTCTCTCTCTCTCTCTCTCTCTCTCTCTCTCTCTCTCTCTCTCTCTCTCTCTCTCTCTCTCTCTCTCTCTCTCTCTCTCTCTCTCTCTCTCTCTCTCTCTCTCTCTCTCTCTCTCTCTCTCTCTCTCTCTCTCTCTCTCTCTCTCTCTCTCTCTCTCTCTCTCTCTCTCTTCCTCCTTTGCGAAACGCCGCTAAATTTTAGAGGGGTGTGCTTGGGAGGGGGGGGGGCCTTCGGGAAGGGGGGGAAGTGGAGAAAGAAGAGAGTGGAGAGAACCACGTTCTTGCTACATGTCACTTGCTGTGTTGCCTGTGTTGTGCTTTCGTGTTCCGCTAGTGTCTTGCAAGAGGAGCAAGGAGCGGAGGCAGGCGCTAGGAAACCGGGGCCGGGCGACCCCACAGGAGCTAGGAGAGGAGCCAGTGCTTGCGCTAGGTCCGTCTTGCAGGAAGGAGCTAAGGCGCTACGAAACAAACGGGTTTTCACCCGCTAGGCAACAGGGCTGCATAGGAGCCAGGCGCAGGAGCCAGTGTTGCGCTAAACCTCCTCCCACTGCTAGCCTTCGGCTTCGCTACCTTGTGGTAGCTAGCGACTCCTAGCAGTTTCACCTCTGGCAGCGGGCAACAACGCCCCAGCTACACAGCCTAAGGGCAAAGGGCCAACGGATGGCCCCGCTACGACCGACGGGCCCGCTACCGGCGACGACCTGCCGGAGACCGCCCTCCGCAACCTGCGGAAGGCGCTACGGTTCCCATCCTCGGAGGCACTGAACCGCTACTTGGAGAAACCCCCACAAGAGGCGATTGAGCAGCTAGATGGCCAGGGGCCCCCACCAGAGCCCCGCTAATATGTTGGAGCGCCGGGTCCTGTCCGCTACAAGCTGGGCAGACCTGTCGCAAGACGACATCGCTAACTTGGATGCTGCTATGTCAGCAAACCTGACACAGAGGTTTGCCGCTAGCGAGGCCTCGGCTGCGGCAGCCAAGGCCCAGCTAGACCAACTCGCCGCAGCAAATGCGGCCGCTAGTGCAGCAAAGGCTAAGGCCCGCAAGGAGGCGGAGGCCCTTGCCGCCAAGATGGCTATGCAGAAGAAGGCAGAGCACGACCAACGGGTCGCAGCGGCCGCGCTAGAGGCCAAGAGGCGTGAGGCCGCAGAGCGGCTCGCTAAGGAGGAGGAGGCCGCCGAGCGGGAGTTCCAGCAGGCGGTGGCCGCTAGCAAAGCCTCCTTGGAGGCCGCCGAGGCGGCCGCTAGCCGTGACCTCACAGCTACGGGCAGCACTGACCCAGCACCGGTGCCCGCTACCTCCACAACGGACGCTACCCTGGATCCCCGAGGCCGCTGCTATGGATCTGGGGCCGAAGACCCAGACCGCTACACACTCCTTCCCACGCGCTACCAGCCCGAGCCGGGGCAGGGGCAAGTTACGATCAATGTGTTCGACTATACACATGGTCGCTAATCTTCGATGATCCAGACCGCTACCTGGAGTTGCTACCCAGATCGCTCCAGCAGGAGCGCGCTATTGAGACAGCGGGCGGCATGCCGGACAATGTCCGCCAAGCTAAAGGCACACCAGTGAGTGTGGCGCTAAAGGGCCGGGCCCGACCTCCGCCCGGGGCCCACGCTAACAGCCTTCCCAAACGGAAGGGCTACTGGCACCTTGAGCGATCATGGTCGAGCATCGACCGCGATCTCTGGCCCTTGGGCTCCTGGGATCGCCGCTATGAGATGGGGAAGGGCAAGGGGCCCAACCCCCGCTACGGAAAAGGTGATGATGGCGCGCTGACCAAGGACGCTATCAAGCATGGAGAGCATCTCTACTCGCTAGGCAGAGAGGATGCCGCGCTAATGTGTCGCTATGCCCGCCCGCCAGAGGGCACCCCCGCTGGGGACAGGGCTAGCGAACTGCTAGCAATGCTGTTGCCCAGCTGCTATATACCCAGTACCAGCCTGGGCGCTGTCGCTACTCCCTGGGCCACTGGGACGCTGCCGCTAACGCCTGTATCTTCAGGTGCGCTACGACCTGCGAGATCTGCACGCTACACGCCTGTAACAAGCGTATGTGGTTTAAAGTAGATGACCATGCACGCTAGTCACTGTTGTGACGGGTGTAAAAAGTGGAGCCGCGGGGAAGACTGGGCGGCCGCTAAAAGTGGGCCCCGGCCTCGCTACTGGCTTCGGCCTCGCTACTTTCAAGATGCACAGCGGCTACTTTTGCAGCGCCTTCTGCTGCCGACCGCTACTTGGAGGGTCGCGGTGGTTAGTAAAGGAAAAGGCGAGTTGTTGCGGTAAGCAAGTACATAGCTATGTTGTGTAAGTGGAGTTAGCAAGTGTGTCAAGTGGTGTAAGTGCAGGAAGCTATGCTGGCTAAGTGGTGACATGATTTAGCAAGTGGATAAATTTCAATTACCTGCGGTGTTAAACGGTTGTGCTAGAAACTTAAGTGTTAGCTATTTGCTTGCAGTACTTAGCAGCTAGCCCTGGTAAGTCAGTTGTGGGGCAGGACACAAGCAGTTAGTTCAAGTGGTATAAGGAGTTAGATGGTTTGCAATAACTGAGTTAGGGCACTTGTAGTAAGTCCATTTACGCCCAGTAGATATGGCCAAAGAAAGGAACTTGAGAGCCAAAAAAGTAGGCAGACATACACATGCACACACGAAATTTAAACCACACATTTGTTGCTGCTTTCGTTTGCTTTTACAAATGTTAAAGGAACTGCTGTTTCGAGAGCGACTTTTGTGTTGTAGAGTTTAGAACTTTTTAAAGCATATATACCCCGAAGCCAACCTCCCACCTCCTTCGCCTGGTGCCTCGCCGGGCCTGCAGCGGCTGCCTGCCCGAAGAGGCCGGCTCTCTTCCGAAGGGCTCTGGGGTTCGTTGTAGTGCCGGGTTTGTGTCGGGTGTGGTCGTGTAGTCTCGGGTGGGGGGACGTGTCTTTTCGAATGCACAAAGAGTATATGGTTTGTTTGTGTTGTGGTGGCTGCAGGCTTCTTTGCATGGGGTATCTCATTTCTTTGGCATATTTCGGGCTGCTGTGCTGACTTGAAGATGTGCATGTATAGGGTTGACTTCGGCTCAGTCGTTTTGATTGCGGCTACCCTTTGGCTTCCTATATAGGGTTTGGATAGGGAACTTGGCGGTTTTGCAGCTTTATTTATTTTTTTATATTTCGTAGTACTTTGCAGGGCATGGCTCGCAAAGTGAAATCCTGCAGGGCTTTGCTCGCAGGAGATTAATAAGTGCTTAGACTTGGTGCCATCATGTCGCTGGCTCCTGAAGACCACAAGGTGATCGCAGACTTGCTGCAAAAGGCTGCCGCAGGGAGCCTTCTCCAGTCGATGAACACACTCATGCAGCACTTGTTCTCACGAAACCTCGCCTGGCGCCTCCGCCTGAACCCCGACTTGGTGGGGGTGCACTACGAAAACAGGGACGGGCAAGGGGTCTCAGCATCCCACGTGCAGGACCTTATTTCATCGATCGCAAGCATAGGGTTCGTGGAGACTGAACTTCGCTCAGTCTGTGTGGAAGTACCGGACGACCACAGGGGAGACAGAGTGCGAGAATTCAACCGGGCACTCGTGGCCGAGTCCAGTTCCAAACTGGCCCCTGTTGACATGGGCAACATCAGGTATGCAAGTATAGTCGGGAGCCACAGCAACCAAACGTTTCGTGCATTCAGGGCTGCAGTCATGCACCATGACCAGAAGGTCACCATCGACAACCGTTTGTCGGTGGAGAAGGTGGCTACCTTTGACCAGGCATGGGCCACCGCCATCAAGAACGGTGTTGAATGGACCATCATTTCCTACAGTGTAACCGAAGCCTTCGAGCAGTTCGTGCCCCTGGCACAGTCAGCTGGCAATACAGCGGCCCAAGTGGCCGCTGTGGAGCATGAGCTACAGCTTGCATCCAAGGTCAACAGGTCGATTGATGCCATGCTGAAGAAGCAAGGCAAAAGCACTGTCCAGTACAGTGACATTGCCCCAGAGATTTTGCGGTCTCGGCCACCGAGTGCATCGGCCTTACCGGGCATATTTGCCTTCGTGGTCAAATGCGGAGGCGGATGTGATCCCGAAAGTTTCCTTTCGAAGTCGGAGCGACACATTCGGGCGCGCGGCCAGCCCAAACGGTCGCTGGGTCCTGAGATGTGGCAGGCCTTGTCCAGCGAGGTCAAAGGCAAGCTGCAGTACGTTCACTGGAGGCACATGCTTCTCAAGCTTGCCTTCACCGGGCAGGACAAAGTGTTGTCGGCCAGTGATGTGAGGAAGGCATTGCAGGGAGGCATGTTGGCAAAAGCAGCCGAGGCTGAAAAGATGTCTAGGGACATGCAGAGCATCCTCAACTCCGCCAATCATCTCACACCAGAGGTCAAGTTTGCCACTTTGTCGGAAGTGGAAGTCGAGATGGCTGCTGTGATCCTGCAAAAGAAGAAATTTACAAAGAGGGAGACCGTATATGAGGCCTGTAACGACTGTCTCCAGGGTTTGGGGTTGACATCCCCATGGGTGAGCTCGGCATCCTCGTCACAGAATGTGTCTCCCTCGAAGGATGGTGCAGTCGGCTCGCACACCGTCTGTTTGGGATAAGTTTGTCTGTGAGTTTGGGATATAGGCTAAAGGTTGGATATAGGGGTATTTCACTCGCTTCCATCTCCATTCTCATCCATACCGAGGGCCCTTCGAAAATTCGATTCCACTGGGGCCTTGGTCAATGATGCGAGGCTGCAGGAGCTTGGTTTCCAAGTGGGGAACATGGTGATGCGAAAGGCGGACGAGGTGGTGGGAACCATCAAGAAGATGACCGCAGACCACGTGGATCTGGTGTTGCAGGATTTCAGTGCATGCAGGGTGTCATCACAGTCGTTCGTCGAGGGCCTTTGGCGCCATCATGTCCCAAAGGCCGAGGCCGTGCCTTTGCCAGATTGTCGGGATGTGCAAGTTAGCAAGGACTTCGGGCAAGGCAAGCTGTGCCTGCCTGTGACTTCACCGAGATTGGACATACGATCCTCTAGCTCCACAAGCCCTTCCGGATCCATCAAAGCAGGGTGCATCAAAACGTCCAGCGAGGACCACATCCTGTACATCCTGCCAATGGTTCAGTTCCCCAAGGATGGCCAGGGAAGTGGGCAGGGTTTCGTGAATCCCACATGGATCATGCGGACAACGAGCGACAGGACCGAGGCCAACATGGAAGTCGTTGGCAAGGGCTCCGAGAAGTTGACTCCGGACTATAGGAAGATCCAGTTGCCTTATGTGAAGAATATCAGGAAAGTGAGTGCGGGGCAGTCGCTGCTCCTGTATCGCCCGGAGACGGGCAAACCCGAGCAGCCCGAGGCACTGATCCGACTTTCGAAGAAACTTCGAACTCACTGAGCATTGCACGGTAGAATAAGCATGCAGAGGTCCCCGGGCCTCGTTTTGGCATGATGTCGTCGGGATCGCGATTGGGTGCAGGCTGAAGAGCTCAGGAAGTTTTGCCGGTTGATGAAAACGTTTTCTTTTGCAATTGCTGTTATGCAGTTATATGCACATGCAGAGCATGTGCATAACAAGCTGGCTTGCACATGCAGGGATTGCTGGCCCATGCATGCACACATGTGTGCTGTGAATGCTTTCGGTTCGATGATCCATGAATAAATGCCTGCAGGGCTCTAGCTCGCGGGCAATATAGGCAGCAGGGCCGTGCTCGCTGCCTCTACATAACCATGGCCGAGGAGGTCGTCCCAGCCGAAGGAGAAGAAGAAGCATTGCAGAACGAGGTTGAAATCGCCGTCTACAAAGCCACTTGCATCACCGGCCCTGGCTTGAAAAACCCATGGCTCCCATCTGTTCAGACCGTGGCCGGGGTGGAATTCCTGAAGCTGTCGAAATGGGACCGGGAGTTCGTGCAATTTTGCACTGGCCGTGCTCTCAACCTGCACCAGGCGGGTGTCAAGCCGGTTCACTCCATCAACGTTGAATTCTTTCGTGATCTTGCTGAGCTGAGGGTGCAGGCATGCAATGCAGCAGTTCGCAAAGTAACCATTGAAGCATGTGAAGCAGAAAACAAAGAGAAGCCAGCAAAGATTCGACTTGCTCAACAACAAGATGAGTTCTTAGTGGGCAGTTCAGTCAGTGTCGAAGTGCCGGCCATCCACGACAGCGATCAGGCGGTGATCGAGGAGCCGAGATCCCTCAGATTGCTCTGGGCCATCCGGGGCGATCTATGGATGGAACTCACTGAGGGCAATCTACGGTATGTTCGCAATGCTGTTCGGAATTCGCCGGTTTTGCCTGTGAAGCCAAAGCGGGCCAAGTCTAAGGCCAGTCCTGGAAGACGACACAGGAAAAGAAAGCACAATTCGGGCCAGCAGGCCGAACCGGCCCAGCAGGCCGAACTGGGTGAGCAAGGCGAAGGCTCAGGCGCCGAAGGTGCGAGTGACAAAGATGTGGAGTAAGTGCTAGATTTTGCGGATGGGTTGCAAAAGTGCTTTTCATGCTGAGGGATTGGCTAAACTCATCAGAAGCATTGTTTGAATTTCGACAATTGAGTCTATGTTGTTTCTCGGTGACATGTCGCAGGCGATGTGCTACTTCTGTTTGTGTAGGAGCCGACATGCTTCATGCAGTGCATGCAGACAAAGTGAGATCGCATGTTCAACCTTGTTCCATGCTCGCTGCTGCCGTTGTGGGAGCCTTTTGTTGGAATCACTGGTAGGTGTTTTCGGCCCCTCATCAGGTCCCTGTTCGTTCGGTGATCATGGATGCACATGCCAATCGCAGCAAGCGGCTCATCATCGAGGTGAAGCAGGAGGAAATGGAAGCCGAGCCCGAGGAAGAGTACTTGGAGAACAAGTACGGTGTGGAGACTGTGGGATGGAGCAAGGAGGAGGAGGAGGAGGAGGAATGGTGGTCCCATACCGAAGAAGCGGATGATAAGTCATGGGCGGCATGGTATGAGGGCGAGGAGGCGGCTCCCTGGTACAAGGGGGTCAAGTACGAGGCCAAGCAAGAGAACAAGTGGGGCGACCGTGGCAGGGATGATTAGATGGCTTCGAGCTCCGACGGCAGCTGCAAGGGCCACTACGTGGAGGGCGGCTGGATGTCGGCGAACAACCACTTTTACCCGAGTCTTGGCTATGGTTGGTTTCATTTTCTGCTGTCTTGCTTGGTATGTTCTTAACCAAAACGAAAAGCAGATCACTAATCACCAATCACCTGAAGCCAGGATTGGCCATGGTCGCGATCGCCATCGAGTGAGGGGAGGACAAAAGGAGCAGGCCAAAAGAGCCAAGGCCGCCAATGAGAAAGTGCAGATGCAGGCTTTGCACATCCAGCAGCTTGGGTCTGCTTTGGCTGCCATGAACAGAATGACGGCCATATTGGACAGGTCGGTGCAGTGAACGGCTGGGTGCCCGGGCGACCTATGTATACGTACTTATGCATGATACAGCCCTTCAGCTCTAGCTTGGAACCCCGTGCACCCTGAAATCTTCCAGCTTTAACTTCCATATAGGCTTGTTGTGCCCGGGTCGCCAGCACTCTCCGTTCCGTGCTTGCAGCCAATCTACCAGAGATCCATGCAGTCATGTCTGCCACACACTTTCAGATGCATGTTTGGTGTAGTCGGTCTACAGTTATAGAGGCTTCCATGATATATCGAATATATACAACCTACACAGAGCACGAACCCCAAACCCCAACCCCCCAAACCCTAAACACGTGTATCTATGTAACATACCTAATATAAACTTTCTCCCTTATGATATGTCAGGAAGCCACGAACTGCAGGCTGCATGCACTGTGCTAGGGATCTCTTTCGAAATCTGTGCCAGTGGCAACTTCAAGATGTCGCAGAAGTCGGCTTGTGTGGTCGGAGACACCACGGACGGGGTGCATGTGTATGTGGTATACAGCCTACACATAAGCCTGGATGCTTTGGGTCACCTCGCCCGTGTTTCCTCATACCTGTGCTTGTGCATGGTCGGCTGCATAAATGCTGTAGATGGCCTAGATCTTCACTTGAAACCATGATAGTCAGGAGGTTCCGTGCAGTCGGGATATACTTTGTGTTCTGTTTCGTGTCGGATGTAGCAAAGCTTGGCCTTTCAGGATGCAGTGACCGGCCGATGGCATTGAGCATGTTTCACAGCCCGCAGGCTTCTTGCAGGATCTAGTGGTTTTAAGGACTATACAGAATGGGATAAATGTTGTAGTGCGGGACAATAGGCTGAAGTTCTTCTGCTTGCCAGATCCGTGTACATGTTGAAGGCAGCCCGACGGCACACTGTACAGCTGGGGAAGCCGGGATGTGGATAGGATATTAGGACGAAGTGTACGGTTATGTGTGTATATATATTTATACGTATGGATATAGATATTATATTATATAATATTCTATTCTATATATTATATCATATTGTAGTATACTACACAACATGATATTACATTACATTATATTATATGATATTATATTCTAGTATATTATATGAATTATATTGAAAATATCATATGATATTGTGCTGTCGTATATGAACTTAAACTATACTTTTTTATGTTGTGTTCTATTATATACAAACACAGATAGGGGTGGGACTGTATGTTTGCATAGTGCTTCCTCATGGAGAATCCTTGCCGGCTGCAAGCGATACAGAGCTGTCTTTTCGCAGAGCTTTCGTGAGTTAGAGTGAAACAGCAGTCGAAGCCAGTGCCGTGTCCATCTCCATGTTTGCAGTTTCGTGGCATGATCCCACAGCACAGCACCAAAGGCCATCCCCCTAACTCTGGAGGATTCGGAACCAGAACAAGCCTAGGCAGGTGTCTCGGGGGGGGGGTCGGGTCTGGAGAGGGCGGCCGAGGTTTTCCGAAACAAAACAGCAAAACCAAAAAAAACATGCAAAACATAGGCAGGGGTTACCAAATGAGAAGGCTAGCAGGCCCGTGTTTGGCTCCGAGGCTGTGGTTTTCAACCAGCGACCAAAAAAGCAAAAAAAAATCGCGAGAGTTCCCCCTGTGGGGGCCCTCCCCATGGTCAAGGTGAGAACACATATTCCGAGCCGACTTTGTTGAAAAACAAGTTCGCCCTGACCGAACTTGTTTTTCAACAAACTTTCCATGGGCGACTTTGTTTTTCAACAAATTTCCTTGATCCCGGCATTAAGAAATTTGTTGAAAAACAAATTTTTGATGGTCGACTTTGTTTTTCAACAAACTCGTGACCTAGGGGCCAGCACTTCGCATGGTCTCGTGGATCCCTAAATCGATTGGTGTCCTGGTCTCTGTGGCTCGGTTCGTGTTGTGTTTTAGCCGTGCCAGGGAAAGCAGCCGAGAAAGTTTTGCAAGTGTGTCCGGTGGCTGTTGGTCTGTATCACTCATGCAAATCCTCAGGTTGTAGAAGCCAAACCTTGACCCGGGCCACCCATTCATAGGATGTAGCATTGCTGCTTGCATTCTTTTTGCTCCTGAGTAGTAGATCCAAACTCAGTGACTGGTTCTGTCGTGCTGTGTCCCGCTGTGCTTGTTGTGGAGCCCCTCTGGTATGTCTCAGGTGTAGGAGATTGAGGTTGCAGCTTGTGTTGTGGCAGAATGCAGGAAGGCAGGGTTGTCGGGGAAGTGGCATGCAGGATGGCAGGGTTCTCGGGAAGCAGCATGCATTCCTGAAGCAGACAGCAACTTGTGGATGCAGGGCTGTGCTCGCATCTACTTGTTCGCAGGGCTTTGCTCGCGAGCAAGAAACCGTGATCTAGCAAGAAATCTGTGCCTTTTGCCTGATTCCGAACATGTCGTCGGCCGATCAGTTGCTCTTGGACATGAGCAACTTGGGGAATTTCTTGGGAGAGCAGAGGAACAACGTCTCCGAGACGGTGTACGAGGAGATGGTTAACAGCCAGTTCTTGTCGTTGAAGACTCGTTTGGCAAACTTGCCAAAGGTGACCATGGTCGAAGCCTCCAAGCTGTCGCAGGGTATCGGCAAGCTGCCCTTCCCGGACAGTGCTAAGGAAAGCCTGTCAAAGCAGCTCTCCGAAGCCTTGGACAGGAGCACTGCCAGCCCCAAGTCCAAGAAGGACAACCAGGCCGCCCCGTCCTTTCACAACTTTCTCAGTGCTGGAGACCGTCGGGTGCTGGGCGACCCGGCCATCACTATCACAGATAAAGTCGATGTGCTTGTGACCCGCCTGGTCAAGATCGGGTTGCTCTGGCCCACCGAAGACACGGTCGGCCGAATCATCGCTGCTGCCGTTGCGGCCGGCATGCCGGCCACAGATCACGCCGAGTTTTACGATCGGGTGACGAAGCTCAAGAAAAAGCTTCACAAGCAGAGGGAGGGGGTCTCGCCGGCGGTGGTCCTGCAGAAGTTCCCGGACTTCGTGTCGCAGCTTCCAGCCGAGCTGCAG